TGGTTTGCAATACAGACCCTGAGAGGTTATCATGTTTGGTCCTATATCTTTGCAGACATCTCCCATCCTGACCGATTCCTCCAGCCATCTTTTTCTTAGTGATCCCTTCTCTATTCGAGCTGCCTTCTCCCCTTTGCTCATGAGGCAGCCTTCCAGCTATGGAGCAATCTACCTGTCCTGTGTATCTACTATCCTTACGTGTCAGCCTCATGTTATATTGTTTTATACTCCACAAATGAGTGCAGTGCAAGAAGAACTTTTTTTGTTGAAAAAGTAAAAGAGTTCCTTTAATTTGTCAGAGACACTGTTTGGAGTACTGATGTAGGCAGGTAGGTAGGGAAAGGCCCTTTGCAATGAAACAAAGTTTCATGGAAGAAGAATTCTAGGAATGACCCACCTTGTGGATACAGAAAACCAAGACCTGATAAGACCATCCGCAGACCCTGAGGATATAGGCTTCCTCCCCATGAAGTTCCTCTTTTTGGACCTCCCTGGTAACCTCCTTAGCAACGAACTTTTACCTGGGAAGAAGCTTCACATGGGGGCAGGCTGGAGAAACCCTATAAAGGCCACCTTGAACAAAGGAAGAACGCGCATATGCTACCCGAGCCCATGTGCTGCTTGCGCCCACGTGGCCGAGCACATGTGGGCTGAGCACATGTGTCGCCCGCATCTCCCCTCTTGAGATGCGTACTTTCATGCTTTCGTGTCTAATGCTAGGATGTGTGTAGGGGCTCTCTCCGCCCTTGGAGAAGCCCGTGTTCTCTCTTGAGTATGTTACTCTTTCACTCTCTCTCCCTCCACACCTAAAAATCCTCCAAATAAAATCTATTTACTTCACTGCTTGTCTACTCCTGAAATTCCTTTCTGCGAGGTGAGACAAGAACCCAGTAATCCTGGGTCCCGGGTGGCAGAGGCGGGTGGGGAGAAAGTGACCGTCTTTCTCCTCCCCACTTCATATAAGTCACCCGTGGGGCCCACCGACATCAGTACAAGGAGTTTAGGTTTATCAGATTGCACCCATCACCGTGCTCCTGAGTCACTCCCATTCCTTTGTTTGTCTGTAACAATTTCTTTGTGCTCTCTTCCCCAACAAATTAGTAATTTTGAATCCATCTACAACTCTGAACTTGTACTGTAAGTTAATACTGCTTTTCTCCTCTCCTTATGTCTTTTGAATAGTTTGCTTTAATGCAATGTCCTTTTAGTATAGATACAGAAAGACAATTAATATTATACTTTATATCTTAGCATTTAATTGGCTTTGAATATTTTTCACTCCCGGCATCTGCTTTCTCAACTTAAGCCTCAGTTGCCCTCACTTCCTAGCACTCCAAGGGCAGGGTCCCGACAAGGGACTGGATGGAACCAAGGCAAGCCGGTAAGTTATGTGCTACCCTGGCATCGCGATGGGCCAGGCCAAGATGCCACGATTCTTAACTATAGGTTAAGAGTTTGATCATAGGCAAATGCTGTCATGATCCAAAAGTAACGACGAGACTAGGACCTTGCTGCTAGGAATAGGAAAGATATCTGGCCTGAGCACTGCAGTCTGAGATCGAGATGGCCCTAGGAGAGCAATTCTATAAGCTTAAAGCATTTCTTAATGTGTCCATACAAAATGATTTATATTATGTGTGCTTATATGTTGGTTGGACAAGGAAAGGAGAAACACACCCATGGAATTCCATTCTAGGGTGAGTTGATCTGCTAAATGAGAATCTGGCCTAGAAGAGGCTTTCCCATTTGTCCTACTAGTTTGGATGGGGCTGAACATTTCTCCCCTTTGAACTGCCTTCAGTAAATAATTTCAGTATATTGTAAGAGGCAGTTTCCCTTTTCTCTCAGTAATCTCAGGTGCTAGCCAGGCCTGATCTTTGGGATGTAGATTCCAGGCTCTAGGCAGGCTAGTCTTTGGGATGCAAAGCTCAGATACTTGTCTTTGGGATGAAGATTCCAAGTTCTAGCAGACTGGTCTTTGGGATGCAAATCCAAGTGCTTGTAGCTTGTGAAAGGTTTCAGTCTTGGTACTGGCCTGCAGATGTAAAGGAACAATGTATGTCTTCCAGACTCAATGTTCTTTCTGTAACTCCTTTTGATGGCATCACTGTATTGAGTCCTTTAGTGGTACCATGATCTATATAAGGGAGATTTCAGGGCTCTGTAGGGAACACGGGCTGAGAGAATCTGGGTGAGCACGTGCTTGAGAGATCCTGGGGCCTCCATGACATACATCTCTTCCATGTAATAAATTGCTACTAAGACCAACCAGCCTGGCCCTCATTTCCTTCCTTCGCCTGCTCATCGCCATCAACCTCCCTGGAGTGGGGAAGCAGCCTGAGACTACCGAACACAGAAAGCAGGAGAGATAGGCCGCTGCCGTCCCTTTGCCCATCCTTTTTTGTGTGTTTACACAAGACACTACAAATTCTATAATGTAGAAATCTTAGTCATTAATTCAGTCTTAGAGTAATTTTAATATTGAAAAATAGTATGGAAACAAGCATCAGCATTATAAGTCAACATGCCTATATAAGAATATTTATAGCTTAAAAAATAGCTTCACTAGTGTTAGATTGATTAAACAAGGAGGACATAAGACTGAGGTGATTTTAATGTCTTGATGTCTACATAATCAAATCAAAATTTAATCCTATACAATGCTCAAGGTCAGGAAAGCAAAACCTTAAGGACAACCACTCACAAACAGCTCACTGGTTTTAAGATATAGTAAATCAATACCTCTTTAACTTCCACCTTTTCTCTACAGAAGCTTTTCCCTAGCTCCTAACAATTGCTCTAACCATTTTTAGATTGACACTGCCCAACTTGAATAAACTTTTTTCAAATAAATTTCTAACATTTCAAAACATTGCCTTTCTTTTAATATTAGATAAAATATTTGTGAAACAATTGAAGCAAATATGTCCTCAAAAAAAACCAAGCACAACCTCTATGATATAGAATTCTTGCAAAAATATATAAATTACCTGTTCCATGCAGCATATTTTAAATGTAAAATACAAAAACCTGTAAAGTAAATTTTTACTTGGATAAGATCTTTGTGTAGTGATGAAAGAGATGCCATATTTCTGGATGTCTTATTTGTGTAAATTTAAATCATTTGCAGACACTAGTATATTGATGTTGAATAAAATGACAATATTCACAAAAAATCCCCCCTTTTTTTTTAAATCTTGCCAATTTGAAAACAATGTTCAGGGGGTTTGTGGCTGTTCAATGCAAGGATGCCAAGACATATGGGCCTAGAGTGCTCCAAATTACCCTGATCATTACAGTGATGTTTGGGGTCATCCTTTGTTTCATCCAGAGATGCTGAGGGGACCACATGGTACAGGGATCAAATCCACATCTGAATTGCACTGGAACTGCTGGTTCCCAATGACAGAAATAATTCTTAAGGTAGCTGAAATAGTCCATTCAGGAAAAGTGTTGCATTTATGTAGGAATTCTGGGATAGATGTATCCAGGAGAGACAATGTATAAGATAAACAAAAAGTCATTGATACCTGTATAGTCACAATTCTGAAATGATGAAGTAGGGAACAGTGGCATATAAGAAAGATAATAGATATTTTAAAATAATAAAGAATACATGTGTGGAAGATAACGAAGCCTCAAGTAGTAATCTAGGGAATGCTTAAGAGTTGGGAAAGAAAAAAGCAAACAAACAAAAAAAAATCAAGAGGTATCAGCGAAAGCAACGTAAAAGAAATGTTAGAGAGAAAATAAGAATAATGCTAGATAAAGTAAAGAAGGGGTTGAGCAGAATTCAATACAGAATTCCTCAGGCACCTAGTCACATGTACCCAAGGCTACAGATTCAGAAAAAAGGATTTAGATATAGCTGAGGCAAACTTTGGGATCTGGAAATAGAAGATTTAAAAAATCAGCTCCAGCAAAGTTAGAGATAGTAAGTTTAGATAATTCTGAGAACATTTTTCAGTAATTTTTAAAATGGGGCATTCAAGAAAAACCAAGAACATATTTGAAGATATAGTAGAGATGATAATAGTGCTTTTGTTTGTTTCTTCTAAAGAAAATAATCTGCACGGAAGTGTATGAAGAACTTGGGAAATTCGAGACTGATTTACTGAGCAAGGTCTTAGAAAGAACAAATGAAACAAGAGTAATAACTTCTATTGTAAAGCTATGAAGTCATCAGCTCTATGAAGCATTTTTGTCATCTTATATCACTTAAATAAATGTAATTCTTGCATTTAAGAAATCAATAATTATAGAAAAACATGTTCTCCTTTGAAAATGTAAGATAACGACTGAGTGCCGGAGTACAGATGACTGGTTAAAGAAACTTTGGTACATCTACACAATGTAGTACTATGTAGCAGTTAGAAAAAATGAAGTCATGAAATTTACATACAAGTGGTACTACATGGAAAATATTATGCTAAGCGAAATGAGTCAGAAAGAGAGGGACAGACATAGAAAGATTGCATTCATCTGGGTAACATCAAGTAACAAAATAAGAGACTAACACCCGAGAACAGCTGTGATAAATACCAGCTTGTTCACTCCATGGCTTAAAGGCCAGTCGCACACTCTAGGGGTAAAGACAGCTCAGATAGAAAAGGGAGCACCAAAATAAAGGGTGCTGGGAAGATCTTCCTAGGATGGGAGATGCCTGCTGAAAGTAATCTATGGACCGAACATGATTTCCACCCAATGTCTCTTCTGCATACCACAGCACTCAAAAGGAGAGACAGAACAAAAGGGAGTGCCCTGCTACAGAGGCAGGGTGGGATGGCGGATGGGGGCTGGGTAGGAGGGATACTGGGATTGATGGGGGTGGAGAATGGGCACCGGTGGTGGGATGGGTACTCGATCATTGCATAACTGAAACCCAAGCACAACAGCTTGTAAGTCTACAACTGTACCTCATGGTGTTTCACTAAAAAAAAAAAAAAACCAAGAAAGTGTATGTTATGAAGTTATAATAAAGGTGCTGAGCCTAAAAAAAAAAAAGAAACTGTAAGATAATGAGTTCTAGTGTTAGCTTGAGCAGGGGCCATGCTAATCTTCTCTGTATCGTTCCAATTTTAGTATATGTGCTGCCGAAGGGCTGGAGCGATAGCACAGCGGTAGGGCATTTGCCTTGCACGCAGCCAACATGGCCGACCCGAGTTCGATTCCTCCGTTCTCTCGGAGAGCCCGGCAAGCTACCGAGAGTATCTCGCCCGCATGGCAGAGCCTGGCAAGCTCCCCGTGACGTATTCGATATGCCAGACACAGTAACAACAAAATCTCCAATGGAGATGTTACTGGGCCCGCTCGAACAAATCGATGAACAACGGGAGGGCCTTTACCTTTACCTTAGTGTTAGCTTAGAAAAACATTTCTTGCCATCTCTTCTTAAATTTCTGGCTACTTTTAAAATTCTGCTTTGAAGATCTAGAAGTTGGCTTCTCCTAATTTTCTTAAAGCCACCTGCGTGCAAACTTCTGTTCTAGTCATTTGCACAGATATGGTGTACTTCTTGTTAAAAACCAGGTGAGTGTTGAAGGAAAATCAGCAGAGTTGCAAGGTCATCAGAGGTCTCACCGATGCATAATAAAGACCACTTGCTTTTAAATGGACGAAGAGACTTTTATTTTGCACAGGGATATGATATCTTTGGTTAGAATCTTAAAATGAAAATTGCATTTAGATAACGCTTTGTTGATGACATGGATGCTAACACTCAACATTTTGTCTGAGGTGTTACTGTGGTTAATGCTCTCAGGTCTCTGCTCCTTTCCAATCTACACATGTCTCTCTCCTTAGTAATTTGATCTGTCAATGTGGGTTTAATTTCACTTGTATACTGATGACAACAGATTGATGTTACAAAATTAGCCTTAATGTTCTCTCTACCACATCTGTGCTATATGCTTGCCAAATTAATGTCAAGTATAGGGTATCTAGAGATTTCCTTCATGTTACCACCATGAAAATAGTTGTTTTTATGAAGTGCAGGCACCCTTTGCTTTCTCCTATTTAGTTTCTTCAAAATCCATTTAATAAACCAATACCTTGACAATGAAAATAGCAAATACAGATTTTCTTTGCTTTTATGAATAAAAATTCTCTTGAGGTGAAATTAATTATAGAAGTTAAAAAAAACTCATGATAAAAAATTATCAACACAAATAGATAAATAATGCACTATCTCTGCTTAAAGCAGAACTATGAGATCTACGTGCCTCTTAATACTAAGACACTCTTTGAGGCAACACTCAAAACCTTTAATAAAAACAACAACAAAATAACAATTTAATTAATGCAATTATTTAGAACGACTTTTAAGTTCACAATAATTTTAATGCATATAAAACATTTTCAAGGGAGATATTGCTAATGCTTATTTTTCAGCTAAAAATCCACAATAACACAAGATTATCTTTAAATCTTTCATAATTCTACATTATCTCCAGCTCATATGTTAACTATGCTTCTGAGATTTGTTATAGTTTCTATTATAGTAACATATAGTCCTATAAAAACCAAAAGTAGAATACAATATACCTTTATTTTCTTTAAAAGAGTCAATTTAAATGCAGTGTCTAAATCTTGAGGAAGCAATCTCTGTAAGGTTGAATGTGAGGAAAAATTCTAACTTTATTCTGAATTTAATACTAAAAGCTAATGTTTCCAGAAAAATTATCACTTACCAGGAATGCAATGAAGTGCTTTGAGTGAATAATCTAATATGATTACCACTCCCATTTTATTTATTTATTTATTTGTTTTTCACTCTCATTTTATTGACATGGAAATTTCTGACAACAATAACTTGCTCAATATCACCCAATCAACTTTAAAAAAACAGTCTAATTGCAGAATCTGTGGGGATAAGCTCTGTACATATATCCTTTGGGCCACAGTACTTATAAAACAATTTATCTATTGAGAAATTGTCCTCCAGAATAGTAAAGTAGCATCTAATGAAGTGTTGGCAGAGATGTGCTGTGCAATAAAAAAGAAAAGTGAGAAAAATTAAGTATCCCGAATAACAAAAGTTTGTCTACTGAAGAAATATTTATTGCCATACCCATAGCCGGGGGAAGTACATTGCCTTTAGAGCACTTCTACTTCATTCTACTAATATCCTTGACTGTTTTCTAAGGACCAAGTACTGGATCTGCATTTAGTCACAGAGTCTCTCTGAGGTTCTAATCATTTGCTCCAATGAGTCCAGTCCTGCAGCTAGATTAATATTAAATGATCAGGCCTCTTTTAGATTTTGATAAATGATGTGATTTATATGTATATAATATTGTAGAAATTAATCATTAACTGATCCTAAATAAATGTACTTGAATTGCATCTTATTTGAGCATCACTGGCTCATTTGTTCATTCACTCAATGAATTCAAGGTACATTCACAAAAATACCCAAACTACTACAAAATGACCACAAAGTTGTGTATATTTTTGGTCCCAGTAAATTAATTCATACTTTTCTTATAGTACTTTCTGCTGTGTGTCTTTTTCCCTTCTAGAGAAGCTTGTGTTCTCTCTTGAATATGTAGCTAACTCTTTCTATTTCCACACATTTCTCTAAATAAATTATTTACTATCAAAATTATTTTACTTACACAGAACTTTCCACTGTGTTAGTTAGTTCATTTATTTTAGGTTGAACATGACAAATTTATTCATGCCACAGAGTTCTGTCGCTGCTGGTACCTTTGTCAGAATAAATTTCCCACCACAATTCTCAGATTTTCACTGTCAGGTATTGCTCAAAAGTTCATTCTTGAGCTGACTCTTTTCTAGCAATTTATCTGAAACACTATTTCATCATCCACTTTCACCCTTTACTATTTGTTGACTTTATACACTTAAGATGACATCATGGTGTGTGCATGTGTGTGTTTGGAGGGGGGTATGTGTGTGTATGCATGCACATATATTGCCATTGTTATTTTTGTAGACCATGATGATGCAAGCTAAACAGAATACAGACTTCCATATGTCTTCTTTGCCAACTCCCTGAACTACAATTGACTTGTTTCAGGGTCTTTTCATGAGTGCCTCGATTTTTCTCCAGGTACCACTCTATATCCTGGGATACAATTATGAATAAGACAAGAATTTTCCTGCTCATACACAGCTTATATTATAGTAGGGTGAAACTGAAAAAAAATTATATCCAATGGTAATGAACTAATTATCAATAACTCATACCCTTGTTAAGAGATTCAAAAATTACGGAAGTAGAAAGTGATACCATCTAGAAAAAAATTAACATGTATGCTGCGATAGCACAGCGGTAGGGCGTTCACCTTACAAGTGGCCAACATGGCCGACCCAAGTTCGATTCCTCCGCCCCTCTTGGAGAGCCCGGCAAGCTACCGAGAGTATTCGATATGCCAGACACAGTAACAACAAAGTCTCCAATGGAGACGTTACTGGGCCCGCTCGAGCAAATCGACGATCAACGGGAGGGCCTTTTACCTTTTTTATATAAATACAAAATAATAAAAAAATAGTTTTAAAAGACAAAACCATAACTATGGAGGATAAATGGTATTAGAAATAAAATAAAGCAATTGCTAAATCAGGAAGAGTGGGAGGTCCAAGTACATGAATACACAAAGATCCATGTATGTTATGTTAAAAAATTTTCAAAGTACTTTAAAAGTTTTTTGGGGGGTGGGGGGGTTTGTGAGGCACACCTATGATGCTCAGAGGTTACTCTTGGATCTTAACTCAGGAATTATTTCTGGCAGTGTTCAGAGGACCATACAGGAGAAGGAGGATTGAACCTGCATGGGTTACATACAAGGTAAACACACTACTCACTGGACTATTGCTCCAGCACCTAGACTTCTTTTTATAATATTTATTTCTTCTTAATGTTTAAATTTCTCAGGTTCTTACCTTTTACTGGCATTTTCCCATATCAATAAAAAACCTACATTTAAAAATATTTGCAACATGGAGTTTGTATACTTTACTATAAACTTTTTGGTGCCCCTAGTGTGGAATATTAATTAGATAGCAGAGAGAATATGAAATATCATATTGAGAACACTATGTGTAAAAATTTGCAGTCTTAAATCTCAGGGGATTTTTTTTAATCTAAATTTTGATTATCTAAAATGCATATCTTTTTATAAATCAGCATAATCACTGATAACTTAATTTGTGTACATTTTAATATTTTGAAGTGCTGAATTGAGTCAATATTTTATTAGTTTTTCATTCCAGCCTGTAAATGGATATCTGAAAATCCAAAGGTCAAAAAGGTAAATTAAAATAAGTTCTTAACATATATGAAGTTACTAATAAACAGGGAAAGCAGAAGCTTTTGTAAAGATGTGTTTATGATATATGGTGACAACTTCATGAATTTGCAATAATCTCCAGATTTTTCAAGATGGACACATTAGTTATATTATATGTCAATAAAGTTTTTTTTTCTTTCTTGTTTTTGGGCCATACCTGTTGGTGCTTAGGGATTATTCTTGGCTCTATACTCAGAGCACCATATTCAGTAAAGAGGATCTAACAGAGATTATCCGCATGCCAGGCAAGAGCCTTACCTTCTATACTATCTCTTTGACCAAAAAAGTTGTCTTAACAAAAGCCCTTTGCTTTAAAATTACTAGAGCAATAGAGATATTAGAGCAGGTAGAACACTTCTCTTCCATGCAGCTAACCTGGGTTTTGATCCTCTGCAGTGCATATGGTACCCTGAACAGAGTCAGAAGTAAATCCTGATTGCAGAGTCAGGAGTAAGCCTTGACCACTACCAGATGCTACCTCAAAACCAAATAAATGAAAATGATAATTTTAAGTAATATAGATATAGTATTAATATGCATTTATATGCAACATAATCAATTGGTATACATTAAAATTTTAATAATAAAATTGTTTTTTTGAAAAATGACAAGTAAATTACCTGAATATTAACATGAAATTTGAAAACAAAGATTAACTCCAAAGGTGAAAGTTCAATATAAATAAAAAAAATTGTAGCATAATTTTTTAACCTTCAATCTTATGCTAAAGAAACATGTATATATATATACACATACATATAAAATGTCAAATATAAACCTATCCAAAGAGG